GGCAGATGACGACAACTTGGATGCTCTCTTGCAAGGAGATGTCGATAAGAAATACATGAAGATGCGTCCGTCGTGGAAGCTCAACAAGAAGGAGTTGTTTGGACCGAGTTTCACGCCCGGAGATGAAGAGATTCACGTGCTGGTGGAACTCCCAGAAGCTGCTCCGGTTGGCGATGGAATAGCAAAGGAACCACCAAACAAGAAGCAAAGATTGGAGGGAAACCGCATCTCATACGCAGGACCATTGCACCGGGATGAGTTTGCCGTTCCGTTTGATACAATAGACGCCTTTCGACAGATCAAGGAAGGTTTCTCAAGAAAAGAGGTCATCGGCCACCCATTGTTCCTGTTGTACGGTCCTCGTCAATTTGGAAAAACGACAATTGCGTATCGCATTATGGACTGGATTGCCAGTGATTCCAGTGTTGCGGATGTCAAGTACGTCTTTTTTGAGATGCATGAATCGGATGTGGCTGAAGAGGGAACGTTTTGGGGACGATTGGGGCAGTGCATTGATGAAGAAAGCGCGTGCTGCGATTATGCATCGTTCAGACGATTAATGGTGGAATGCACAACCCACGACCGGACGCAGTTGTGCCTGATTGTGGATGAAATGGATCATCTGTTTTCCAACAAAGAGTTGGCTGCCAAGTTTCTCAGTGCACTTCGAAAATGGAAAGCAGCACCGTATTTCCGTGGTTTTCTTGGGATCGGAAGTCATGAACTGGTGCACCATCATGAAATCTTTCGCGGGGATGACAAGACAAGCCCTTTCAACGTTGGCAACATGATCAAGATGGTGCCATTTTCGGTGGAGCAAATGAGTGCGTTTTTCAAGCTTATTGAGCCGCGCTATGAGTTCTCTCAGTCTCTTCAATGTGGAATCATGAAGTATTCGAGTGGAGCGCCGGGTGTATTTGGATCATTGATTCGATTTACGGTTGATAACGACAAGTGGACTCTGGAGTGGCGTGAATGGGAACCGTGGTTCCAAGTGGGTGCATTTTCCGGGTATTTGACGCAGTACAACAACACCTATCACCGCATACAAGGCGATCTGCGCAGCTTGACCGAGTTGGAGTGGGAGGCACTCAAATACATACTTGAAGACAATGGCAGTTTGACGGCTAGCACCGTCGAGGGGTACTGTGGCATTGCAGTCAGGGGCGATCAGCAAAGGCGACTCGTTGACCCGTTACTGAGAATGGGGATTGTGGTTCAAGGAAGCAGTGGTGAATTGGCCATTGTATCTGAGATGATGTATCGAGTTTGTGTCGAAGCCCTCCCAGAGCGGGAAATTCATCAAGCTGCTAATACCGACGACCCCGTGCTGCTCTTGTCTGTTGCGCTTGGACAAGTGTACCCCAAAACCATTTCGAATCATCTTGTGAGGAATCGACAAGCACCGAGTGAGTCGGCATTTCATCACGAGCTGTATTCGACAATTCGGGATATCTTGAAGAAGGGAGCACTGACGAGGGGTATTTTTTATGCTGAAGTAAAAACTCCAGGCAGCCGAAGGAGAGCCGATATTCTCATCGCCAATGGGGTCCGAGTCGCGTACGAGCTGAAGTCAAATCAATTACGGGAATCCGAGATCGAAGCCGCCGCAAAACAAGCAGATGAGTACAGACAACAGTTCAACGTCGACCGGATGGTCGTTGTCAACTTCGTTCCCATGGGACACACGTTGGACGAAGTGTATCGATACACGCGGTTTCCGAGGGTTCAGATCGTTCATGCTCGGTTTGTCGATTCCTGCGATCAATTTTCTCTTCAATACCTGGGAGAGACAAACGAAGTCACGAG